AAGTATGTTAGCATATGGCTACAATATAACAGAGTGAAAAATTTAAGGGGGCCTGAATACTTTCCGTACCCACTGTATGCAGCAACAGACCCAGTTCGCTGCTAATGGTGAACACAAGGTGGCAACCACTGATACCACAAGCAAACTACAATATACACAGCCAAACAAATAGCATCAAAAATTATTGGTATGCCCACACACACACCTTAGTATACCTTGCTGCTACCTCTATCATTTATCTTAAAAAGTATGATTGCACACTTGCAGTCAGTACTTTACACCCATGTCCTCCAGTCAAACACATTCTTCCAATGCAAAATTTTCACGTTACTTTTATGGCCCTGTGCCATATTTATAGTTAGCCCCTTCTGTCCAGGCACCAATGTAACAATGTGCCAAGCGTATTGCATCTAAGTATTTTGCATAATTTCTTTCTGAATAAGCCACTCAACAGATCTTACCTTGACTTGGTCACATAAATCAGCTAGACGGGCCTCTAAGTCGAGTTGTTCTGAGGAAGCAGAGGAAGAGCAGGCTATTACTAAGACTCACTTTTAAAAACTGCTGAGTAATTATACTGAAGGCTTTAAAAAGAACCTGTAACACAGGTTGAATAAATTAATAGTATCAGACAGCACTGCTGGCAGATAGTACAGTACAGTGCTTTTACCAGAGATGTACAAATTTTACAGTATCAGTATGTTACAAGAGGCTTTGCCAGGGCTCACTCATAAAGATGGAAAGAAAGATTGGAATATATATATATATATATATATATGTGTGTGTGTGTGTGTGTGTGTGCGCACACATATATACATAACAGTGAAAAGATGACATGACAGGAGTTGAAGTGCACTGTCTCTGGTAAGTGGGACATAGAGAGGACTTGGTGTTTTCAACAAGAAGGAAACTGGAGTGAATAGGAAAAGGGAGAGAAAGGCAGGCTGATCTGAGGTACAGCACTATAAGGGTTGGGACATACCTATGTAGACGTGCCTTTGACTTCGGGGATAGGGTCTTCTGAGTACTCTCTCATATAGGACTTGCATGCTGGGCTTGGCTAGTAAGATTGCACATAACCTTTTATTATTGGTCCTCTGGGATGGGTTAATATCTGTCCATTTGTGTGGATTAGATTTGGTGAGTCATAGATACAACAGTGAGTTGTGTTTGGGAGCTATTACAATTTGGTTTTAGTCTACTGGTTAAACTTACCAACTTAATCAAGTATGATTTTGTCAGTGAACTAAGGTCAGTTAACCACAGTTAGATGCCTAAATTAACTTCGCTGGTTGCTGGTTGTCTAGTCTGTTTAAAGGGTACAACATGTTTATATGCAAGGATCAGGTGAAATGACATGAGAACACAAAAACTTGCAACAAACACTGATGCTGAAAAAAATGAGGACATTCCATAAATTTTTTCCATAATTCAGTAAATAAGAATTTGGATTTCATTGCTTTACATCCCATTGAAAGCCCACTCTGACATGAGTTGATGTGAAGCTGTAGTGCAGAATACCTAGTTCCATACGATGGGAGGAAGGCAGGTCCTTGGTAATAGTGGTGAAGTAACCAAAGAGGCCCTGGTAGGCTAGTAGGAGACTGGAGCAAAGGTTATGGTGCAGACTGAATGCATGCTGCAGACAGTGCTCAGATACCAGAAATGTCCTGCCCTGAGGGGTCACAAGGGACAGAGAAATTATTGAATTCTTTTAACAACAGTACTGCTGTTCTGGCTGCTCTAGCACTTGGAAACATTTGGTTTGTAGTCGCTACCATGCAAAGAGACAAAGCAACATGAGCTGTGGTCAAACAGAATTTAAGGGAAGACATCAAGTAATTAAGGCAATGTTCAAAATATGATTCATATAGCAGGATACCCACAAACGTCTTCTACAGTTAAAGAAAACGTATGCCACTGCACATTGTGGAACTGGCCCTAGAAATCACTAACCCTCACCTGAAACCCTAAACCTTAACCAATAATATCTACATGGTGACACTTTATAGCAGCTTCAGCACAGATCCTTGAAGTGAACTGAAAAGTGGTTAATGGGTTGTTATGCCCACCTCCCTACTAGTTCATGCACCAAGGAGTGATGAGGAAAACTGCTTCAGTTCCATCTAAACAACAGTGAACAATCGCACTACTACATCTCAGGGCAGATCTAGCTGGCCATCTTTCTCTGTGAGGAGAGGCCAATTAGTCCTGGCCAAAAGTGACAGTGGTCTGGTAATTTCCTCTTCTTCCGCCCTATCTGTCAGTATCCTGTCAACATCTCTCCCTATGCTTCAAATACAATGACAATGTACACTGGATTTAATTCACCATTGCACCTGAGACACTGTCAGATCTGAGTTCACAGCCATGACCATGTAATAACCCTTGCTCAAAGAGACACTACCTATCAAACATTTGGACACACAAACTGAGTGATTATAGCCAACCTGTTGACTTCTGAATGTTTCTGCACTGAAACATGATCTTTTCTTTTTTTTTTTTTTACCACTCCAAGGTTTACTAGCATGCACAATTGAAAAAGGAGACTGCCACAGACACTTTCTTTTCTATAAAAGGTACTTTACTTACATCAGGTGATACTTGTTTGATGTAACTGCTGCCAAACACCACATTCTCCAGAGGTGGGATGACAGAGTCTTTGCTCTGTGTTGGAGCATTGCGGTTAAGCCATGTGGTTTTTACTGGTCGTGGAAAACTAGGTCAACACACAGAGTGAAATCAAACTCAGCTAATAGCCACAAGAATTTAATGGGACTCTCCTAAACACGTTTCTTCTACTTCTCATTCACTAGTGAACATGAATGTCATGTTAACTTTCAAAAGCTTTATTGTTTACTTTAACTCTAATGTCAGTCAAACTTGTTGTGTGGACTAGGCAAAGAGGTTTGTGTTGGAATTAACTGCAAACACAAAGAGTAATTAACAAACATTTATCAAAGCGCCCTGACACCAGTGCATGAATGCATAACTATACTAAGTGCAAGCAACATCCCTTGTTTTTTGGGTTAGGTAGCAGCCTGACCTGATAAGGGGCTGATGTAGTGCCACTAGGGAGGCATGGATGGCTACAGAGATGACAGACAGGTGGAAGTAGTCAAACATGACATTGACGTGTTGGTGGATGCCTCTCTGAAGGCTAAAGTGCAAACGAAGTGTGCGGCCACTGATATTCTGCAGTGAGCTTGAATCATCTTGCCTGTGGAAATGAATTAAGGAAGACAGAAGACAATATTAGTGCCTCATTTACATAAGAGATGCAAATATCAAACTCACTGAAATGAGTACATGCAGTTAAAATGTTGCAACACCTACATGTAATCACCATCTGTGAAATATAAATCCAAGAGGAGCTGAAAATCCATGTCACTGAGGGACTCGTCCACCTGAGGGGTTTGAAAAACAGTGAAGGCTGAAAAATTTAGAGTCTGTGTGCAATTTCAAGATATGTTCCAAGCTCATCCGCAAGATCTTTAATGTACCTATCAAAGTGGGCTTTTTGACAGTATAAGCTCTAAAAGCAGTAAAGCAATATATTTTGAAGCCTCTGGTTGTTATAACCTAAACCCTGAGAACACACCAGCTGCCAAAAACATTGCAATACGCCCTGTTACAACAGTGGAACCACCACATTCCTAACACAGGGTGTTTCAAGCAGGCAAACTGTGTACTGGCACAAACAAGTCCTTTGGTATAATACAAAAAAAAAATTGTCTTTATATCAGTGACATTTTATATGACTGGCATGCTTCTAATTCGGTTGAGGGCAGCATCTGCATTTTGAAATTGGGTTCATATGAGTGTTAAAAAAAGTTTGTCCTGAAATTCCCAGCACAACAAGTTCAACACCAACTCCTTTATCAAGTATCGAGATATGTGTATGGTGTTTGTTTCTCATGGTGTTATGTAGTTTGTTCTCCATTGCTGCTGAAACACTGAAATTTCCCCATTGAGGGATCAATAAAGTACCTACCTACCTTTATTGATTGAAGGATGCAAAACACTATAGAACACAAGATAAAACTACTGCAGTAAATCTGGAAATCTGTAATACAGGCTATATTCAGCTATCAAACAAACCAATTTTAATTGGAATGGCTTTAAATGTACATCTATTTTACACCAGGTGTGCAGAGAGCAGTGTGCATCATACAGAAAAGGGCATGCTGTTCTGGCATTTACAAAGACATAGATAGGATGTATTGGGACCAGGGCCCAAATTAAACATACCTTCCTCTCATCCAGCAGCATCATCACTTTGAAGAGGAGGACATCATTGACCATAACCTCTTCATTCTTGTACAGAATTTGGAAAGTTTTGCTGCAGATGACATCATCTTGGACTGAAGCAGGAAATGCCAGATCAGAGGCTAAACAAAAAAAAAAACACTACAATTAACTGTGCGTAAATGAAAAATAGCAACTGAGTGGTTATAGCCAACATATCCACTTTTGAATGTTTCTGCTGAGAAACATGATCTAGTGCCATGACCAGGCACAGGACCATTAGTACGTCAGATGCTACACATGGTTGATTTTAGATTCAAGACGAATTTTTCAATTTTTTCCAATTATATGCAACACCACAAATGAGCCAACCCGAAAGTAACAATATTCTTGTAATATCAAGAAATGATCTGACAAGGACTACAATAGGTTTTGATTGAAGAGGAATATGTGGCATTTTCAAACTGATTCTATTTAACAAGGTTCACAAAGTAATAAAACTGGAAATTAAAATATTTAGGCTTGGAATTATACCCTCTTGATGCATTTACATGAAAACAACCTGCCCTCTGATAAGAAAAACAGCAGTCTGTTATACCTTATGTATATTGCAAGTTACTGAAATTTTACTTTAATGGATTTATTTAGAGAATACATGGGAAAGAGGCAAGGCTTAGGGTTGACCATTTGGATCCAAAAAGGATACCTGGTAAGCTACAGACAGGTTTCACCAATGTGTGTGTTGATACAAGCTTCTGAGCATTAACATATTCTGAGTTCGTCAAAAAAAAAAAAAAAAGTATATTAAAATTCATGTACCTCCTGGGTGAAGCAGACTGGTCTCAACTTTGTGTGGAACCCGGGTTGGCACCTTCAAACTGGCACGAATTTGGTAGAACCTGAAAATGCAAACAAATGTTTTAAATGGAAATTGGTATTGAAAAATGGTATTATGTTTTGGCCTGGAGGAACATTAGAAGCTCTGTAAAAGGAGGAAAAAAGAAAACCCCACACTGGTTAGCTACAAGTAAAATGACAATACACCTTTCATAAATGAATAATGAATACTTGTATTCACAGACACTCATTTAACACACCTGAGCTTTTAGAGCACAGATGGCCTAAGAGCATAGAGCACAAGTTTTACCTCAGCACAAGCCGTTCTTAAAATAACTTCCAGATGTTAAAGACCATGACTGCTAGATTTGTACAGTTTCAACATTGTGAATCATATCATTATATATATATATATATACACACACACACACACACACACACACACACACACACACACACAGTGGGTACGGAAAGTATTCAGACCCCCTTAAATGTTTCACTCTTTGTTATATTGCAGCCATATGCTAAAATCATTTAAGTTCATTTTTTTCCTCATTAATGTACACACAGCACCCCATATTGACAGAAAAACACAGAATTTGACATTTTTGCAGATTTATTAAAAAAGAAAAACTGAAATATCACATGGTCATAAGTATTCAGACCCTTTGCTCAGTATTTAGTAGAAGCACCCTTTGGAGCTAATACAGCCATGAGTCTTTTTGGGAATGATGCAACAAGTTTTTCACACCTGCATTTGGGGATCCTCTGCCATTCCTCCTTGCAGATCCTCTCCAGTTCTGTCAGGTTGGATGGTAAACGTTGGTGGACAGCCATTTTCAGGTCTCTCCAGAGATGCTCAATTGGGTTTAAGTCAGGGCTCTGGCGGGGCCATTCAAGAACAGTCACGGAGTTGTTGTGAAGCCACTCCTTCGTTATTTTAGCTGTGTGCTTAGGGTCATTGTCTTGTTGGAAGGTGAACCTTCAGCCCAGTCTGAGGTCCTGAGCACTCTGGAGAAGGTTTTCGTCCAGGATATCCCTGTACTTCATGGAGTTTGCTAAAAAACACCTGAAGGGGACTCCAAGATGGTGAGACCAAGATAGAACTTTTTGGCCTTAATTCTAAGTGGTATGTGTGGAGAAAACCAGGCACTGCTCATCACCTGTCCAATACAGTCCCAACAGTGAAGCATGGTGGTGGCAGCATCATGCTATGGGGGTGTTTTTCAGCTGCAGGGACAGGACGACTGGTTGCAATCGAGGGAAGGATGAATGCGGCCAAGTACAGGGATATCCTGGACGAAAACCTTCTCCAGAGTGCTCAGGACCTCAGACTGGGCCAAAGGTTCACCTTCCAACAAGACAATGACCCTAAGCACACAGCTAAAAGAACGAAGGAGTGGCTTCACAACAACTCCGTGACTGATCTTGAATGGCCCAGCCAGAGCCCTGACTTATGATTTTAGCATATGGCTGCAATATAACAAAGAGGGAAAAATGTAAGGGGGGCTGAATACTTTCCGTACCCACTGTGTGTGTGTGTGTGTGTGTGTGTGTGTGTGTGTGATGGGGAACATCATTTTTTTAATTTGGAACATGACAGGGAAGGCTAGGATGCCATACAAGACAGTGCTACAACCAGAACTGTATCAGCAAGGAAGAAGTAGCAACTCATATGGGACTTGGGGATATAGCTTGCTTCCTGTTGTAGAGCATAAGGGCCATTAGCTGACAGCTACATGGTTTGGTGTAATATTCTATGCTGCACTGAAATGTGAGCTCAACAATGAATGTCTCTCTGTAACCTCTCATGTCTTTCTATATGATGTTAATATACCATGCTCAACACATACAATTTAGCTAAAACAGCTTCTCTAACAAAGTTATACAACATTTGCTGTCTATAACAGACTTTTGCAATACAATACAGTAATCAAGATACGCATTTAAACAGTGAGTCAGTGATACACTTTAGTTCTGGTTGCTTATTTCTTGCCAGTATCTTTAAACATTTACCCTTGGATCTTTACCTTTGTTCACTGTGTCTTACAGAACCAGTCATCATTATGACACAGAAACACAGAAAGGTGACCTTACACAAATATAGAAAATAGTATACACTGAAGCACTGTTTAACATATTCTATTTATTTCTGAGTCCACTAAACAAGATCTAAAAAAGACTGCCAACTGTCCCAGATTGACCGGGACACTCACAGAATACATCCTGATCCCCTTCTACCAAAAGCTGCATACCAAAGCTTGTTTAAGTCCCTTCAAAAAATACTACCAAAGTTGGTCTGTTTTAATGAGCAAGGTAAACTGGTTTGTAATGTATGCTTTGGAAAAATATTTCCTTGGAAACACATGCCACAAATGAAAACAACATTGCCTGTATAGGCAATGAGACAAATACTGACCCTCTTTGGAACAGGTCCACATTGTAGAACTTGTGGAGCTCCACAGAAAACTCCACTGTTGCCTGTACTTCAGTCATCTTGGTCTCTACAGGCAGAGGTGCCTTACATCATCTGGGATACACCTGTGGGCCTGTAAGTAAAAGTAATCAAGTTAGTCATTTCAGCTCAGAAACTATTTTAAACAAGCTGGGCTAAAGCAAACAGGTTTTTCTGTAAAACTTTATTTCCACTGGTTAAAAAAAACTATACTTCTACATGCAAGTAAATAGAAGTTAAATGCATTACTTGCTTGTTAAAATGATACCCTAAGTAAAAAAAAAATGTTAAAAAAAACAAACAAACTGAAGCCAAGACAATATTTAAATGAAAGCCTTAGCAGCAGTCATACAAACATAACTGGGAAGACGGGTAAATTTTCAGATGAATCATCAGGGCATAAAGCTTAGACTTAGCACAGAAGACATCTTGTCTACCAAGCCCAATTTGTTAACAGCCCAGACAATTATAGCATTAGTATTAGAGTGTAGAGGAAAATACTATGAATAACATATCTCAAAAATAGACCTGAAACATAATATCACCAATTGGTAGTGTTAGAAATAAACCCAGACATCCTTGATTTATTTAGACCCAGTTAAAAAAAAACCATATAGTTGTTGTGGAAGTAGAAGCAAAATAAAACTGGCAAAAATAATTATACAGACACTCCCTAAATTAGTCATATAGAACATGAATAAATTATCCACTGGGAGGCAATCTGTCATTGTGTTCACACCAATGAAAACCAATATGTGACACAAAAGGCCACTGTGAATTTGATCTGGCTGATACAGATGCCTGCTGCAGAGCAAATAATAGCAGATTATGTTATTATCCAAACATGTCTCCCTTGCAGGAAGAAGTGTTTTTAAATGCTGTCAGTTAAAAACAAATTGCATTGTCTGGGCACGAGACTGAGGACATACAAGGAAAACTGGATGTCTCTGACACATCCATGTTTTAATGTCGATGCCTCTTAGTAAAACCTTGAAATAGCCACTTTATCATTGTTTTACAATAAGCGGCACTACTATTTGTTTGAGTAGTACAATTGATCCCATATCAAATTAATGACTGCTACTTTTATTGAGAATCCTTTGTAACTAAGCTGCAAAGTTTACAGTAATGACATGGGAAGGAAAAGTATAACCTGTACAGTAAGACAGACCTCCAGTTAATGCAAAGACATAGAAATGTTTACACAGACACCTCTGATAGGAAGCAATCCAAAAGAGCACATTCACACTTAGTGTCAGCATTAGAGATTAGTAGTTCGGTGAAGGTCTGAAAGTGTGACACTGCACTTATGTAACAGCTGTTCTTATGCATAACAAAGTATGATCCCGACTGTTTGGCATGCTGAAATGTTGCTGTCAATAAGCAGGCTAACGTTAACTTGTTAGAAGTAAGCGGTATTGCATGGAAATTGGCTGAAACGTCTGTGTATAACCACACAATAAATACTAAATTATCATATGCAAAGAACATAACCAAGCAAATTCCGCATTTCCGTAACCAAACACAGACAACTGTTGATAAGGAAATATATCTGGCATATTTTAAGGTATGTCAAACCACCAACAAACCTCGGAAAAAGTCAAATTAAAAACATATATTCTAATGAAGAATATAGCTACATGAAAAGGCCTAGTTAAACAGAGTTTGTGTTTCATGTTCTTTGAAAAGAGGGAGAGCCTTTATGTCACAGCGAAAAGCCAAAACTCATACAGACCAGATTGGAGAGAACTAATTGCTTACTGTTAACTTAGCTACATGGTTTTGATGCTATTACTAGACTGAGTGAGGTAATAAAGGTCCCTACCTGGCAGAATCTCGGGAAGGACTTGGGGTAAAGACTGAGGCTACCAAAAAATTTTACTAAGGGCCCATAGACGTTTAGGAACCATCCGAAAAAGACGTAACATAGCAAAACATACTTGAACGGACCAAAGGGAAAAGTCTCACTTGATAGCCACTTAGCTAACAGTAACAGTTAGCCACCCACCGAACAGTTGTCACCCCGGATCTAACGTTAGCCGCAGCAAGCTAACACTACTTACCATTGCGTTGGCAAGCTAACATTAGCTAGGTAACCAACGTTAGCTCCAGTTTCAGTTCTCTTGTCGTCCTTTCGCTGTGAGTCGCTGACAAAGAACACTGCTCTACTGACTATTTCACTTCCTAGTCCAGCTAACGTTATAAGAAGGTCACCTTTAAAATGTTACACAAAGTAGACTGACCATGCATCTGTCTTACCAGTAGTATTTGCTAACCATCGAGCTAACTATGTGAAGATCTGACAGCAGGCGGTGCTGTAGCTGCACGCTTATGAACAATTAACTGTGCGTTACTGCACATACCAGAGGCGCCGCCATGCAAAATTGTTACCTATAAATGGACCATTGAGTTGTAGGATGCATGTACTGTATTATTATTATTGTTGCTGTAACATATCCCAGTTATGCATGTCATACATCCAAATGTCGTATGCTTCATTGATTTTACCATATTTGGAGTATGGCGTTGAAAACTGGGGAAACACAAAAGTTCACTTCAACCATTGTATATATTACAAAAAAGAGCGATTAGAATTGTGCATAAGATGGGGTATAGGGATCACACAAATGTAGTTTTCACACAGTCTAAATTGTTAAAATTCTTTGATTTAGTGGGATATAAGACTGCTGTGTTTATGTATAAAGCCAGGAACAATTTATTACCTGGGGGAATTCAAAAACTATTTGATGAAAGGGAAGGAGGATATAATTTAAGGGGTCAGTTAAATCTAAAAGTTCATGCTATACGTACAACCAAAAAAA